TCATAGAGTGATCTGAATTATCCCATGTGGGGTAACTCGGATCAGCTCCACACTACTTTTACCATTTTGACTGATACTTTTTACCGGTATAATATTTTTCAATAATTCTTTCGTGATTCGAGAGAGAACACTTTGAACTAGTAGTGTTTAAAAAATCATCATTGTGCAATGCAAGATGACTGAGAAAGAACAAAATCGAAATGAATTTTCAAAATTTTGATCCGAATTACCCAGAGGACTCTCTAAATTGAAACCCGGCTTCGATTAGCTGGAATGACAAGTCAAGAAGTCGCTGAAGTCTTATGAGAATTAGATATTCAATTAGTTGTGCATCCAGTTACAGCGTAACCAAAACAAAATGTGGCATTTCAAATGGAACCTGTTATTGATAAAAGAAAATGAAACTTGTAATCCAGATTATGATGGAACAGATGACTTTGAAGATGTCTATATTGAACCACCTATTGATTATTTCGATCATCCTGTTGTGAAAGAAGCCTCTGATGCAAGTCGTCTCCGAGTGACATAATCGATAGATTTGTTCTCTTGCTTTTTCTTTTTACTAATTATTTTGCAACTTTTATCTTGTATCGTTTTTTTTCTCCTTTATTTCTGTTTTAACTATGAACGATTTGATGGTCAGTTAAAAAAAAAGTCATCACTGAAATATAAGTGATGAGCATCATTATCTTGTACTATTTAGATATCGACATGTATACCAATAACCTTGTTTAAGTATTATTTATTGTTCGGTTTCTTTTTCTTTTACACATAACTACATTGAATTGTAGGATGTGGGTGTGGCGATAATTGAAGACATGGAGCAAAATGGAACACAGCACACTTCGTCTAACACACACGCCTTTCAGTCAACTTACAAATATTCTCATCAAACAGCATTGATGATCAAAAGATGGAGCGGGGGGGTGTAACGGCACAGTGTGTCGTTACTTGTGTTGTCGATTGTTTGGTTTCTGATTTCTAGTTCGCCTTTCGTTGCCTTTCTTGATACGTTAGTTCTTCGTGTTCTGTTTCGATAAAAAAAACTCGTTTCGCGTTGGCGCTCAAAAAGTTAGATTAAGTATTATATATATATATAGTTTACTTGTTCTTGTTGCATCAATATATATAAGAAAAGATCTTAATTTGTTGTTTTACATTGAGTATTGAACATACAACTATAAACTCTATTCAATCACTTATTATAACTTATCAAGAGCATATTCACTAAATCATTCGAACCCATTATTTTGTAACGAGCTTGCTAACTAACTAGCATCTTAGGAGGGGGGGGGGGCGGTTGATTTTATAGTTTTTTTCTTCAAGGGGCACCCCTCCCCTCAGCCAGCGTTTTTTGTTATTCGTAGGCTGATTTGACTGAAATTTTCAGGGTATAGCCGCGTTGCATTAACTTAATCGCTTGCAAATTTTCGATTGAAAAAATTTTTATTTTAACGAATTATTGACAAATTAGTTCCCAAAACAGTGGTCTTTGTAAGGTGCCGATTTCTCGGACTGTCAAAGAGGTAGAATGTTTACTACTGCTCCCAGAAAAGCGCTATTTTCATTACCAATAACTATTCAAAGTGCAATAAATCGCACATAGTATGAACGAGAACACTTTGGGCTTTCAGTGCATGTGCTTATTGGAAAATCACTTTTCTGAGGAAGGAGTCCCTTAAGTATTAATGTTGTCATTCTGTTTTCTTTTTCGATCAAGTCTGAAGAGCAACCAAATGGCAAGGGTAATAGACAGTGTGAAATATAGAAAGCGTGGGCTAACGAAAGAAGAGAAGAAAGGAAAAATACCTAGCGACAATAAGTTATTATTTTATTTGCAGCACATTGTCAATGGGCACATGAGAAGAAGTCGAAATAAAAGCGAGCACAAAAAAGTAGATGCTCTCAACCATGGCCAAATTTTTTGTTTTGCCATTACATTAAGCCAACTCTATGTATTGAAAATGTATCGGCTAATTTTCTTTGCAATCGTATCAGGTCAACTTTACGCTAGAGAAATGTATTGATCGATGTATATATTGTTTCGTTTTCTACTTTCATTTTAGAGTTACATTAATCAATGGCGTTAGGTTTTGGCTTTGGTTTTGTTTCTGGCGTAACCGGTACAATTGCTGGTTATCCATTCGATACTGTTAGTCTGTAGACTAACCAAACGTTTTTATTATACTTTTCTTCTTGCCTCAAGCTTCCACACCTAACCCAACTTCGCCTCTTGACCAATAGATAGATAAGAGAAGGAAGAGAGGTAGTGCATGGGTAGAGATAGCGCCACTACCTAACAGATACAGTTAAGGTTCGTCCACAAACACAAACACTAAATCATCGATTATATTCCGGTTCATTAGATTGCTTTATTAAAATAGCAAAACAATAATCAATATTAGGCTTTTACAAAGGCATGGCATCACCAATGTTTGGTGTTGCAATTATAAATGGAATTGTTTTTTCCATACAAAATGTTTCAAAAGGATTATTTGATAATCCAGATACATATTTTTCATTAGCAGTAACGGGTGCTAGTGCTGGTTGTGTACAATCATTTATTTGTTCACCAATTGAACTTGTTAAAACACGCTTACAAATGCAAGGCATTGGGCAACAAAGAAAACTATTTGCATTATCAACACATTTATATTAAGGCCCTATTGATTGCATAAAAAAATCTTATATTCGACAAGGTTTTCAGTATGGCGTAATGCGTGGTCTATCAATGACACTTGCACGTGATATTCCATTGTTTGCTGCTTACTTTCCAGCATGGCAATTCTTTGTTTTATATTTTTCGCCAACTGGTAAAGAAGCTGACATGCCTATGCATATGACTTTAGTAGGAGGTGCTTTTACGGGCATTGTTGCTTGGGCTGTATCATATCCATTTGATGTCATTAAAATTCGATATCAAGCAGCAAGAGATCATGCATATAAAAATGTATGGGATTGTGCAGTTAGATCATTCCGTATGGAAGGATGGGAAGTATTTACACGAGGATTTTTACCGTGTACACTTCGTGCTATTCCAACAAATGCGTTTACCTATCCTGTGTATTCTTTTTTTAAAACAAACGTTTGACACAACACTCGATGATAATGTTTGAAATGTCGATACCAGCAAAAGTTGTCACTCAATCGAAACCAATGTCTACCACTAAAACTTTAATTCCAGCTAGTGCTTCGATTCAATCAATTTAATTTAAATTTCTTTTTTATTGTTGATTAGAATTACAAAAATATCGATGCAATTTAAATGGAGATTTAATTTTTGTTCCTAAGTATAAATTTGTTTATTATATTTGATAGTCATCAATGAAATCACTGTTGACTATTTTTTTTATTAATACATTACTATTTGTATATAATTGATAATATGATAGATCCAATTAGATCGTTAAAATGTAGTAAAATTAGCAAAACTATTCTTGCATGAATGTTTAAGTAGTAAAATATCCATCACTTAGTAAAAATTGCTTTGATATAGTTAAATTATACACCGGAGTTTTATTCTTACGTCTGATCAAATAGATATTAGCATAAAATTTTATTTTGGAAATGAACAATATCGTTATGATTTTCTATTCTTTCAGTAATTAGATCAATATTGTACGAAATTCAGATACGTATACGACTTGAATCTACGCTGAAGTCGAAAATATTAATAATCGATGTTTTCATTCAAAAGAAATCAGTATTCTACAAGTGACTTTCAAAATCTCCTAGATTTAGTTCTCGTACTGCATTCAAGAATCTAGAAAAAAAAAACGTTTCTTTGTAATAGCTTATCTAATTTTCAAATACGTCTGAGGTAGCCATAGTAGAATTCATCACTGAGAAAGCTCTACCCAAGCTTATCAACATATTCATAGAGAACGATATCGATTGAACGATTAATTATCTTCATGAGATTCATTATCTCAGATCAGCTGTAAGATTTTGACTCTCAAGATACGTATTTCTAATTTAAACTAGATGGTATTCGAGTTTCACCTGAATACATGCGATGCGAAGCACAAGTCGAATTTTCTAAAGAATTGAGAATAAGATGAAATAGCGATACAAATCGATTTCGACAAAAAATAATGACTTGTTTTGCAGTCAAAAGTCTTTTTTTCATCTGTAAACCTACGTTAAAACCATGTAGTCATCTACTTGTGTGATTTAGGTAATAAGGCAGAGAGATTTAGTGACGGTTGAGAGAAGAACAAACGTAGGTATTTTTCATAAAGAGATGATAGAGATCTGATGATTCATATCTACAATGAGGTACAGTCCGAACTGATAGATCAACAAGAATGACGATCTCACAATCTTCTCTAGTTTTCATTTGCTGAGAATTAGATCGTGTATCTTTTCGAAAAAGATTCAGTTGAAATAAGTGAATATAGCAAGGGTAACTCATTCGAGCATTCCCTTTCACTTCAATCCATTCCTAGTCACTCGAATGTCTTGGAATGAGTTTTTTCCTCCTTTAAGCGAAATATATTGCTGATATGTTACGAAACAGTAGGGTGACTTGCATTTACTCATCATTTTTCTTTGATTCATCGACAACTATCGAGCCCAACAGCTTGCGAATGTCTCACAAAATAATAAAGTAAATAGGACTTTGCATTTGTTGATCTTTTCCCGTGTTCTTACTTTTCTATCTTAAAACATCAATGAATACTCATCTGAATAGATAGAGCATTGTAGAATTTGAATTACCAGTGCGTGCACTTTCTTATGACTAAACTTTGATGCATACTATCAGTTCTGCCAATATATTGTAAAGGAGTATCGTTGAAAGCAAAATCATCGTTACAGATATTCTGCATGCCATATTTATTTATAAACAAAATTAAAAGCTTCAAGATGCCACGTACTTAATGATTTTTGATAAATCGCACAAACTATATTGACTCCATAATATTTCATGTTATTTTTCTATGTTTATTTGAATATACAGGACTGCACTATCCAAAATAGTTCTCGTTATCATTTATCACAAAAAAGTAAAGTTTATCCATGGCTATTATTTGAAGAAAAATACTATCAGTGATCTATCATGATTACATGTACTTTCATTTAATCGTCAATTAAATGAGCACATTTTGAATACAATTACGATTTTTTCAAATAGAAAATCATTGTCATGTAGAGGAAAATAATCCATCTAGTTTTCCAGTGAATTTATTTATATTTTTTAGTCGAATATTTTCCTGGTGAATGATTTATTAGTGTTCGACATTTGGTTATACATGATAATAATCATTACATTAGTTCAGTACACATTGATTATATTGAACAATTTCTTATCGGTTCAAATACATGTTTGCCTTGTCTTTAAACATTTATGCTATATTCAATATAAAGATCTGGTGACTGCAACACTTGATAAGATTTTTTTGACAAAAGATCGTTAGTGTATGCTCAAAAGAATGTCATTTGTGCGAATTAAATTGTTTTTGTACTTTTATTTATAGATATAAATAACAAGAGAAATAACTTCGATTTGTTTAAAAATAATTTAAAATAATATCACACTATGAATTATCAGCATGATTTAGTTAAATTTTTAGTCTTGGTCGTCAGTCAGTTTATAAAGAACATCAATCACCAAAAAAAAATCCTATATCCTGAAATAGCCTCTCAAACGTAAATTTCAATTTTCTACCATCAACTTAAAAGTGAAAATAATAATTCTCATACTAAACATTCATTACAAAATATTCGGATTGAATCATCTCTTAGATCATGCAATACGATATTGGTTGAACCTATGGAAACAAATGATGATTTTAACTTCCTATCACCATCTTCTTCATCTTGATTCGTAGTCAAATCTTGCATAAATAACAAATAGCTAATTTTTCTTTCTTCTCATGTATTTTTTCTCCTTGTTACTCTTGCTTTTTCCTGTAGATTTAATGAATCATATAGTAATGAATCAAAACAATTTAGATGAGTTTCTGGAGAATATGGACACTCACAGTAGTATCGTAATAGTCGAGTGCTTTTTTTTATAGTACGTTTAAAGATTTTCTAATTTTAAATGATTTATTACAATATTACAGTCTGAAATCTTTGTCTGAATTTACTGAAAATCATTGTGATCATTGACATTAGTTTTTACGTCTACGTTTCATATTTTCTATGCATAAGTATATGTTATAGTACTTTTTATGAATAATTTCTTAGATAACAAATTAAAATTATAGAACGCTTCTCATATTTTTTGTTACTTCAAAATAAGTAATAGATCCAATTGCCTATACACACTGAAGGAAGACCATAAATAACTCCACGGAATAAAAATAAATAGAATTTTGATGTCAACTAATTTAAGCGATTTACATTAAGTGTATGAGTTACGTGTATCGCATATCCTGCGGATATAGCATTTCATTAATTCACATAGCTAAAATTGTTTGTTGAATTCGATATCGATAGTATTGATTAATAACGAAAGATGCAACACTATATGCATTTACATTTATGGTGATAACCATTTTCGACCAATATGAACTATATGTATAAATTTTTCTTCCTATTTTCGAATGAAATGATATTTTAATAGACTTGTTCAACAAAAATATCTGACCTCGTCGTATTCAATGTATAATTCACTGATATTTTTTCTTGTATATAGAAAGAGTGTTGGTTATGAAAAATTCGGATATTTCAAAATGCATTGCAAATATCAACGTATATTTTTATGTTGAGTATGATAACATAAAACCGCAAAACAAGAGAAAAAGCCCACACGGTAACGAGCGCGATAAACTTGAATTTGGTCGAAAAGAAAAATGTCGAAAATACGAACATTGAAATAAAGCTTTGTTGTAGAAAAAGGGAATTTTAAATGAAGACTGTTTGGAAAAGTGTGTGACGAAGATGTCATTATTTCACGGCGAATATTGACTTATTTTATTATAAATTTATGACCCATCTATCACACTATTGTTCATTCAGTACAAAGAAATGGGCAAAGAAGAATACGAATAGGAATCTTCAATCATTCATTATTCGAGAAACAAAATAAAAGTGATAGCTCCCTCTGATTCAATATTTATCATCAACGATGACTGATATTTCATTAATTCGAATAACGAAGGTATAAACTTGAATGATCATCTGGTGCACCAAAGCCAAAAGACACAAGAACAACAGCATTACAAAGTCAAATAAAGACGTTGTATGATGTATATAGCAACTATCTCATTACAGCATGTGAAATTCTTGAAAGTTTGTCTTTAATTGTGGTAAAAAAGAAGTTTTAATCAAGCAGATACAATATTGTTTAAAGAAGGATTAGCAATCATTCCCAAAAATGTTTTAGACTGTCTGTTAGTCTTCTTTTAATAATAAACGTTGTGTTTTAATTAAGTCTACTGGCTGATTCATTTTCAAGATAATCACGAGTGCATGCATGAAAAAATGCTACTTACCTATTGAGAATGATACGGCTCATTGATTCAAGTAGGTAAAAGTAAGTGGAGAAAAGTCACGTAATGACGTCAATGATAGATACGGTGTACAAGCCATTGCAAATATACGGTGTGAGTATCGGATTTGGGTGTACGGATATTATTCATGGAATAGAACATGAAGACCCACACTCACATCCTCACGATCAAACAATCAAGGTTTCTTTTACTCATCAAAAAAAGAAACTTCGAGATTCACATGTGATTTATTTCATATATCAACGTATATTTTTGTTTTGATCATGATTCATGACAAAATAAAATCGAAAAACAAGCGGAACAAAAAAAGAAAGAAGATTGAAAGAGAAAAAACCCACACGGGGACGAATGCATATATGAAAAGATACTGCTTGCCTATTGAAAATGACACGGCTCATTGATTCACGTAGAAAAAAATAAGTTGGAAAAAACCAAGTAATTTCGTCAGCGATAAATATATTGTACAAGCCATTGTGGATATAACAGAGAAAGATTCGCACTCTTCAATATCACTTAGTTTGTAAGTATATCTTATTTCATTTAAATTGTTTATAGATAATATAGAAAAATTATAATGAATGATTTTTAGTGTGAAGAGATTGATTTTTGATAAAAGATTAAGGGTTTCTAGACATATCAAGCTGTTGAATTTTCTTCCGAACATACATTTGATTTAAGAGACAGATAAAATAAAATGCTGGATCTACTCAAAAGAAACTTCGATTCGAAAGGACGAAAGCTACCAGTTGTTCAATTGATTGTCAAAGCATGTGAAAACTATTTAGTCTTTAGCTAGTATTATGACTAAGGTATTAGTACTAGGGTACCACCATATTGATCTGCTGCATTTATATTAAGAATTGCAAATGTATCAATCATTTGGTACAATGATCACTATAGTTTGAATGTCTTTTAAAATGCTTTCCTTATATTGACTTCTTGAATTCCAAGGATGCGGTTGGTATCAAAGTTTGTCTCAAACAAAACCTGAAGTGTTTTATAGAAAAACTAATTCTCTACTACGTAGTACGTAGTAGAGAATTATATTGAGCTATCAACTAGAAAATAAGTCTTTGCCTGAAGTCATAATTAACTGAGCTAGATGGAGGCCTGCAGAATGGCAAACAAGCACATTTCAGATTTTAAGCTCACAAGAATTCTATTCTATAAGTATTCAATTTTTCAAACAACCACTAAATTCCGCTGGATAGGTATTCTGCAACTGCTACATCAGCGATAGCTCAATCATCTAAAAGAACACTGCTTAGTTATTCATTCCATTAATTCATTCTTTCTTACATTAGCAAAAGCTCTTAAATACATACAACATGGATAAAAACAAATCATCCACAGTTAGCAACGCAACATCTGCAGAATACAGTACGAACGTGATTTCAGCAGCATCAAAACAAGTCATTACTAGCGCCACTGTTGAAACTTCCTCAGAAGATTTTCGAGCACGACCAAGAAGAATCGTGCAAAATTTCCTTTTAGTATGGCTCGATGCTAATATTGATGAAGGAATGGAAGATTTTCAAAAGTCATTGACAGAACTTCGAAATATTATCGTGACAGTAGAACCATTTACTGACGTCGATCAATGTGTTGATTACCTAACAAGTATAGATGATCAGAAAATTTATTTAATTATTTCTGCGTCACTTGACCAAACGATAGTGCCGCTTATACATGATATAGTTCAACTTGATATGATCTTTGTTTTCTGTTCAAACAAAGATGACCACAAAGTATGGGCGAATGAATGGTCGAAAGTGAGAGGGATTCATGACTCACGATGCCATTCACCAAGGACGTTTGCATATATAATAGAAAATTTATCAGAGCTGAGCTACTGAAATTCAATCTCATTTAATGATTTGTCTTTAAAAAGGTTTCGTTTTAATATTTTTGCCATCGTAGCAGTCAATTCCTCAAGTTTAAAAAACCGAATCTTATTAAGTGATGATATATTTAATAAAAGCTAATGAGTTCGAAATGATAATGTATAAATAATCAACTTAGAACTATTCTTAGGATTTTTCATATGTAAGACAGCACAATTCGAAAATGTTATTTCTCTAGAACACCGTGGTATTCGGAGTGCAATATATTTTGATTATTACAGTATTATTTCAAAAGAGAAAGAAATCAATTAATTTTTTTTATAACGATCCTCAATCTGAACATTGATATATTAAAGACTCAAACTGTTTTACATTCATATATTGTTGATCAAGATCAAAAATATAAGCTGCATGATACATTATGTAAAAATACCTATTTCATCTTTCACCGAAAGTTTGCTTACAGTGAAATAAATTCGGCATAAAATATCCCTAAATATTTAATTCTGATTGATTGAATACATCTTACAAAGTAGAAATAAATAATACTACTCAATACTTATGCAAATAGGTACCATAGTGGCTATTGATTGAAGCATTAATTGTCTGTTAAGTAGTAGAATAAAATCATTTAAAGTTTTAAATATATCAATGAAGAGCTCAAGAAAGTTGCAAAGCTTTTAAGGCAATACAAATAATTCTAAAACTCACGCTATCGAGCTATGAATAAATGCATATGTAGATGATCATGAGTGAATCGAATGAAAGAACGGAAGCGATGTGTCTGGAAGCGTTTGGAACTACATCGGTATCATTTGCGAGACTCAGATTAGTATTTTATCATTAAAAAAAGGTGAAGGCTCGTGGTGGAATGAGATTGATAATAAATTTGATTGGGAAATCAAATACAGTGATGACGTTTACGAAAGAACATGTATATATCCTTTATAAATATCATCAAAAAGAGTCTATATGCATGCAACTAGCAAAGGCGATACAATCATGCGACCACGATTCAATACCGATGAGCTTCATACCAAAGCGACAAATATCAGATACAGCATCCAACGACCAAAATCTTGATCAATTACCACCAGCTTACATGTACTCGGTGATTTTCAAGGATATCATATTAGAAATCGATGATGATGACGAAAAATCTGTTAATACTTTAGTGAGTTATTGTCGTCAACAAAAGATTCCTGAAATACAGATAAACTCATTACAGAGTACTTACCACCAGAAATCACCAGTTTGGTGGTATACGAAACCAATGTTTCTCTTTAGTATGCTAAATCGTGCCTTACGAATGCTCGATATGGAAGTGATGATAAAATTAGGTTTTTTTATTCGAAGTCTGCATCTACAGCTGGAACGATTGCATCAAGTACAGTCGGCAAATTTCCAACAAACTTTTACCGTTTATCGTGGTCAGGAACTCAGTCAACAGGATTTTCAGAATCTCTGTAATTCAAAAGGTGGTCTACTATCGTTCAACAACTTTTTATCGACTAGTAAGAAACAAAACGTGGCCATATCATTTGTTCAACAGGCCCTACAGAGAAATCCAGATATTGTGGGTGTTATGTTTATTATGACAATAGATCCAAGTAAAATATCAACTTCAATCACACCATTCGCAATGATTGATGAACACAGTGCTATCCCACAAGAACAAGAAATATTATTTACAATGCACACTGTTTTTCGTGTTGGTGAAATTAAACGGACGGCTGAGAATAGTCGTCTTTGGGAAGTACAATTGGCTATTACTGACGAGAGTGATCCACAACTGGCTGGTCTTACTGATTGCATCAAACAAGA